CCCTCCTCCCCACTTGGAGGCCTGGAGCCAAGGCCTTTGTGCCAGGGTTTGAGGAACTCTGGGTGATGACAGGGACCCCTGCCCATTTCCTTCCTTCTGCCTCCTCTCCAAGGGGACACTCTCTGGCTGAGTGAAGGCGGAAGGGAGGAGCTGAAAAGGACCCCTTAAGTGGTTTTGAGAAGCAAATTGGGTGGGCAAGTTTGGAGTTCCAAAAAACCACCTGCTCCAAAGCCCAGATTTGCCAGGACAAAGTGGGTATGCAAGGCTGGCAGGAGCTTTTGCTCAAGGTGCAGGAAGGGCTAGTCCCACGCTGCCCATGTCACAGCAAATTTCAAACCATTTTTCCAAAAAGTAGAGTGGGATGATGATAGTCTTCAGACCCTCCCTGAGCCCACCCCATAAAAGCTAACGCACAGCTCACTTAGGACTGTTGGGGAAAGGAGGGAAGCAGCCGGTCACCAAGTCAGGACTTTGGACACAGTTTCCACAAAGCACCTGGGTGGGCTCTAGCACCCCGACTTCTGACAGTAACCCTTCTTTCCCTGGACTCTGGGGCCAGAAAGGGTCAGATGGGTCCTCAGTAAAGAGAAGTGAAAAATAAATGGGTGGTGCAGGTTTCTCTCCACACTAGGAGGACAGGAGGAAAGGGGGAAGGGGTCAGAAATTTCCCCCATCACAGGACAAGCGTAGGGGCTAGGGACTATAGAAAGGGGTATGGATGGTTCTCTGAGTCCCCGGACTGGGGCTAGCTCGAGAGGTCACCTTCCCGCGGAGGGCCGGTGGGGGGAGGGGCTCGCTCGCTGCCCGGGGTTCCCGGCTCCAGCAGCCGTGGCTCCGGGAACACGAGGCCGGCCAGGCCCGGGCTGATGTAATCGGCTCCGCGCCGCGCGCGCCCGGTCGGGCGGGGGAGGGCGGGCACCGAGCGGGACGCGAGCAGGGACGGGCGGGAGTGGCGCCGCGCAGGTGGCCCAGCAGGCTGGGGGGTCCCCGCAACAATCCATCCCAAAACTTTTCCCAAACTCGAAGCGAGGGCCGTAGAGACGGAGTGGCAGTGACAGCAAGCCCCCTGTCTCGCCTGCGCCCTGCCCCCTCCATGCTCTCTGCCCTCCCGCGGTCCAAGGTCCGAGCACCCCCCTACCCGCTGTGCTCTGGCTCCCGCCCCCGCTGCCCGGACTTCCAGTTCGTCGGGAACCCGCGGCCAGGAGCAAACTTCAGCCGCCAGCCGCAGCGAAAGCCCAGCCCCCTCGGCCTCCTCCTCTGGCTCCCGCCCTCCGCTGTTCGGCCCAGATCGTACGTGCGGTGACTCTGGTGGGTGGGCAGGGCCCGCGTGGGCGGTGAGACTATCCTGGCGCCCTCCCACCTAGCACGCGCCCCCTCCCCCTACACGTACGACGACAGAGGGGGACGCCGCGCGCCTGGTGCCCAAGGACCCGCGTGGGTCACGAAGCCCCCACGCGCGCGCTCGCACGCACGTCCCCAACCGGGAGAGGCGCTCGCAGCAGTCCGCGGCAGCCGGCGGGCACAGTCGCTTACCTTGGCATGGTGGAGGTAGAGCAGCAAGGCAAGGCTCCAATGCACCCAAGAGAGCAGAAAGTTCATGGTTTCGGAGGCCCGGCCGGGGCCGGCTCTGCTCACGCTCCCTCTCCGGCTCGGGCTGCGGGGCGGCCCGCTCTCCTCTGCGCCTTGGCGGGCTCCTTTTCCTCCTGGAGCCAAGGCCCGCGCCAGGGCCTGGGACGCGCGCGCGGCTGTAACACTGTCTGCGCACACCGCCGCCTCACCCGTCCATGAGCCCGTCTTCCGAGAGCCTAGTGGCCACCGCGGCCCCCTCTCCTCTTCCTTCTCTTCTTCCTCCTCCCCCTCCTTTGGCCGCGGCTTCTCTCGGCCGGAGCTAGCACTTCTCCCGGCTCCGCTTGGCTCGACTCTCCCGGCGCGGACCACGGCTCCTCCGGAGCGAGAACAGCCCAGAAGTTGGTCGAAAAGTTTCAGTGCAATGCCGCGAACCCCGAACCCCTCCACCCCGCCTCCGGGAGCGGGCTCCGGGTCCTGCCCGCGGCTTGCCGCCGCGTTCACTGTCGGCCGCCTGCCTGGGAGGAGGTGGGCGCTGGGGCTGGAGGCGGTGTCTGTCTGTCGGTCAGCGCTACTGGTCTGATGCGGGATCCTGAGGGGGAGGGCTCACGCTGCGCTCTGGCGGACACCCCAAAAAGCAGGTCACTCACTTTGCCCCTGTCCCTCTAGCTGCTCGCTTGCTCGCGCGCTCTCTGACCCCGTCTCTCTTCCTCGACTTCACTCTGGAGCTCTCGCTACCTCTTTCCTCTATCTTCTGGTTTCCAAAATCCGAAGTGATTTGGGGGAGTAAAGAAGCAATCTCCCCCAAACCGTCGTTCCGATTTAAGTGGAGAACGGGAAGCAAAAATAAATTAAAATGGGAAACAATAGTTTAAAAAATGTTTAAGAAAAAAAGAGGGTGGTGAACCCTGGATAAATGAATATCAAATTCCAGCGCAGAGACCCCTGGCCGGTGAGTGCTCTGGACAGTCCGCCTCGCTGCTGCGTCTCGCGACAGAGCTCCGCTGCCGCCAGCTCGGCTCGCCCTCCGCGCCGCGGCCTCCTCGCAGCCCGGCTGCCCCAAGCCTCTGCGCTCTTTCCTCTACCAGCCGACTGGAAAAAAAAGGGCTTGGCCCCGCCCCACCAAGGACCCGCCTCCAGACCCGCCCCTGGGCGGGGCAAGGCCGAGCCTCTGTCCCTCAGGCTAGGCACCGCCTTCCCCAGGGACGTCTAGTGAAGTCTGGGCCCCTAGCCCACCACCGTGAAGGGAAAGCTCGACCCCCACTAGAGTTTACAGCCTGAAAATTATCCATGTGTCCTCCACACACAACTCTGCCTAGACACACATACACGCCTGCAGGGTGTTGAGGGGGGAGAAAAACAGGAAAGTGAGGTTATGTGCGGACAGGCCCTGAGAGCAATCCTTTGATGGGACTATTAGAGGGGGAGGGTGGGAAGCTAGACAGGGACGGGTGGGGAGATGGACACAGGTCTAATGGAATCCTGAAGTGACTCTTGGCCTTCTTCCCTTACACACACACACACACACACATACATTTTCGCTCTCTCTCTGCACGCCCCCCACCTCACTCATTGACATACGCATCCTCACGCAGACTAGGCTCGCCCAAGTTCACGAGTTCCCTGTGGTGGACGAGCGCCCCCTAGTGACTGACGTCTGCACACCCCAGCTCTAGCTCAAGGGAATGGGTCTTGGAAGAAGGATAGAAGGAATTTACTCCTGGACATCCCCCTCCCCCACCTCCTTTCTGACCTCCCAAACTGTTGCGTGTTTGGGACTGGAATGCCCTCGTGGGCAAAAAACCCAGTACTGTGTGCAGGGGGGAACAATGTACTTATCTGGAGTCCCTATCTGACCTGAGGACATTAGAGGGATGTAGAGCCCTGGGGTGAATGGGGTCCTTAGAGAAGTGTCCAGGGAAGTTGCCCTGGGGAGAATTTGGCACAAAACGTGTAACTTTGAAAAGGACAATCTTTGTGGTTCTGGGGTTAGTCAGTGGCCTAGAGGGAAGAGGACCTGTTGGAGCCCACGTATGCACTGTGGAGTCTGGCAGAGCCCAAAGGGAGAGGCAGCTGGGCAGACAGAGGCCCTTGTTCCTCCTGCACACACACCCCCCACAGATGTTGCCAAGGAACTGAGGCCAGGGGGCTGATGGGGGCGGATGAAGGCCAGGGTTTGAGTGATGATTCAAACCTACCCCCCAGTACTCAGAAACGTCCTAGGCCAGTTGCCCAGAGCTCCCACCAGGCTGGGGGCCAAACCCCAGCCCAGGCTCACAGATCATCTTCTGAATAGTATTGGGGAGTCTACTTAGCCCCCCATTCCCTCCAGATCCCTTGGCTATTAATCCAGGCTTGCAGACTCTCCCCTCTCTTCCTCCTCTGTCCCCTTTCTATCGTCAAAGCCCCCTTCTCCCCCAACTCCCCACATCTTCCCTAAGTGCTCCCCAAGGCCCCCTACCCCACCCTTGGATATAGGAACCAGCCTGGAAAAATTCCTGGTTGGGCTTTGGCCCAGCTGTTCCCAGGCTCCCCCAAGGGAGCAAAGAGGGGGCTCTGATACCTGTGGGAAGAAAGGGACCAACCAGTTTCATTACCCACCCAGATCTGGGTCTGGCCTGGGGCTGAGGTAGCCTCTGTGAGGGCCTGGGCTGAGAAGGGAAATGCAGCAATTTCCCCCCAGTTTGCCCAAAACATCCAATATTATTTTGCCAGCCTACTCCCTCTGCACAAAGTGCTGTGATTTGATGGGGGTGATAGGTCATCTCTTGGGTACCCTAATTCTGCTAGAGTGTTGTCCTGAGGGCCCTAGAGGAGAGGAATTGGCTTCCACTCACTCCATCTTGCCTTTTCTATCATTCATGCTCTGGTCCTGTCTCCACCTCCTGGCCAGCTCTCCAGCAGCAAGGACAAGGTCTTTTTACAGTTTGTAAATGTTTATTTGCTGGCTCAGGGCTCCTTCCAAGCACAGGCCTCCTCACCTTGGTCCATGCTCCAAGCTGCTGAATGAAATATGTAAGAGAAGCCACTAAACATCCTCCCTGTCTGCCTCTTGCCCCCAAGGATCACAAATGTGAACACTTTGGCAGAGCACCCTCCCGCATCCCTACCCTGGGCAGGGCAGAGGCTCCAGATACTGAGGGCTCACTGTGGCCCCCTCCCCTGCATCCCTCTCATCTCAATCTTCTTCAGTCCATAGAGAAGCAGTGAGCATTAAAAGGAGGCCTCAGCAAAAGACCCTGAAGTTATGCCAAGTGCAGTGGCGCATGCCTATAATCCCAGAGGCACAGGAAGCCGAGGCAGGAGGATCCTGAGTTCAAAGCCAGCCTGAGCAAGACCCTCACTCTAAATAAAATAATTAAAAGGGCTGAGGATGTGGCTCAGGGGTTAAGTGCTCCTGAGTTCAATCCCCGCTACCAAAAAAAAAAAAAAAAAAAAGACCCTGAAGTTGGAAGGAGGCTGGAAGAGTTCTAAGGAAAGTTAGCCATTAATCATCACTTTGCACCCAGCCCCCCACAACCTGAGCCTGCCATGCCCTGTGGGATATACTGCAAGGAGTGTTAAAACCTCCTATTCCTATTCCAGGATCACCCTGTGGGCCCAGGGCAATGACGATGCACAATTCCCTTTAGATAGAGCTAGGGTTGCAATCTGGCCTGAGGGGGTTTGAGCAACCTGTACTAGGGAGGGGAGGGGCCTCCCACCTCCACCCTGCTTTTTGGAGACAACCTGATGGTGAGTCAGAGGAGGACCCAACTCTGGATCCCATGTTCCAGTGTGGTGTCACTAGCTTTCACAGGGATACACATAACACTGGACCCAGCCAATGTCCATATTGTCATCGAATTAAAAGTTCAAGTCACTTGGGTCTTTAAAAAGGGAGGAGAGAGACAAAGTAATCTTAAGACTCATGAGACTGTCTCCTCAAGCAGTGACTCTTCTAGAACTGAACAAGCTTCATTCCACTCATTCTCCCTCCCCAGGTCACAGCAGAACAAGGGGCATCAGGGTAGACTATCTTCCCAGAGGATCTCCCACAGGCCCAGAAATGGAACAAGGGACTCAAGGTCACCCTGCAAATTGGGAGAGAGTGGATTCCAGAGCAGCTCAGACAGAGATCATGGGGGCTCCTAGTGGAGGGGCAAAGGCAGCCCCATGGGTGGCCAGGCCTGTGACTCCGGAGGCAGTTCAGAAGGCACCTAGAAGGAAGGGGAAGGTGTTCGTGGAGATGGGGAAGGGGAAGGAGGGACAGAGTGGGGGTGGAAAGGCAGCCGGGAGCCAGCAGTAGCTCCAGACAAAGGAAGGAGTGATCAGCTCAAAGCGCTATAGTTGTACTTTGTCCTGAAGTCCTGTCACCTCTCCTGTCACCTCTCCTGTCACCTCCAATGTTCAGGGAAGCTCTCACTACATGGATGTGGGCAGTTAATCTGGAAACCTATGGAGGAACAGACAGAGAACCTCCTGGGGGGGGGGTGAAGAGGAGGGGGTCATTGAGTCTTGCTATTGCCTACCCATTTTTCCAAGTGGTTTACGATGATGGAAAGTCTTCTCTTCCGCTCCATCCTCTGACCCCCAGATGCCTCGCTAGTCACTGATCTGCAGGAAGGTCAGCAATACAAACCTGCTGAATTGAAGGGAGGACTAGGTTTTTTTCTCCCCCAACCCTTCCCTGTCTTTGGTTGTAGGTTACCCCCCCACCAACTTCTTCCTCCCCTCCTCCCCTCTGTCACTAGGTGTTCCTCAAACACTAGTTATTTGCAACAAAGCAACAGAAGACAAAGGAAAAGCAAAGGAGGAGGGTCTCCCTGCCAATGTCATGGCCCTGTGTGGACCTGCAGGATTGACTGGGGTTCATGAGAGGGAATGACTGTCAGTTGGTAAAGAGATTGCAGCAGAGGAAGCAAAGCGGGTAACCTCCCCAGAAGGATCCAGTCAGAAAAGTGGGGAGCCAGCTGGAGATGGGAGGGAAGCAACAACCCTCCATCTCTCTTTCACGAGCCTCCATTTAACCCCCTAGCAGTAGGGTGTCTCCAATGGATTGCTTCTCCCCAACAGCCCCGGGCATAACCACTTCCTGACACCACAGTCTTTGCTGCCCCTCTACGCCTGACCCTCATCTTGTCCACTGCTGCCCCGTTCACATCCACCACCCCACCCAGTGTTGGAGACGGTCTCTCTGCGGGGAAGGTGGCACGTGGTTTCTGCTAAGGTCTCCAAGCTGTGCCCTCCCTCCTGACTTGACTGACTGCTGTCTAGGAGCTGAGCTTCATTTCAATGTGTGAATATTACTGGAGGTCTACCAGGCACCAGCCTCTGTGCCAACACTATAAGAGATACGGGGACACCGAAGTGTATGTAGATTGACATAATAACTTTATTTATTTATTTAAGGCAGTGGAAAGCATAGGGGCTCTGAAGCCAAACACAACCAAGTGGCCCTCCTGGCTTTGTCACTCTGTGTGACCTTTATGCAGGTTACTCAACCTCTCTGAGCCACAGAGTGAAAACACCTTATCTGTAAAATAGGAGTGAAAACACCTGTCTTGGAAATTCCTGCACACAGAAAAATGTGTACACAGCGCCCCTAAAAGGCAAGAGATGGGGAAAGGGCTCTGGAGGAGGTGCAAAGTGTTCCAAAGGTATGGAAGGAAAGCAACCAAACTGGCCGGAGTGGACATCAGGAAGGGCTTCCTGCGGGTGGCGGCACACAATATTGATTCCATGAGTGATTATTAAATTTATCCTGCAAGCCCTGTTTGGGGCTGGGTCCTGGAGCTTCCACAGTGCGGAAGAAGCTCCTTGTCTGGAAGGAACCAGAAGAACTGAGAATAGGAATTCTCTGGTGGGGGCTCCTCTCAGTAAGAATTCTCTGATGGGCTCTCATAACTGCTGAGTAAGCAACGGCTTCCTGGAGAAGGTGACCCTTGAGTTGGATTGTGTTTTTTTAATATTTTTTTATTTTAGTTGTAGATTGACATAATAACTTTATTTATTTATTTATTTATTTATTTATTTATGTGGTGCTGAGACTCGAACCCAGTGCCTCACACGTGCTAGGCCAGGGCTCTACCACTGAGCCACAATCCCAGCCCTTGAGGAGGATTTTGATGGAAGAGCAGGGGTTTAGCTAACTGAGTGGAATGGGGACAGAGAAGAGGCAGAGGATTCTGGAAAATTCTGATGGCTCCCAGGGAGCCCTCCCAGGGTCTAGGCAAGGCAGGGGATTAGGACTTCTTCCCAGCCAGAGCCCACAGGGACAATGCTACTTCCTCAGGGGGTGAGCTTCACTTTGCCTTCCCCGCCCTCTGGGACAGCATGTCTCTGCCAGAGACTTTAAACAAACAAGCAGACACTAGAGGTAGGTACAGCTCATACATTGAGCACCACTGTTATTTGACTCAGGGGCAAGGGACGGGCAGAGGACACCAGCCTGTGACAAGCACCGGGCCATTCAGCTGGAGCAAGCCATAAAGCAGAAAGATATTTTCTCCAGTTTTACTCCCTCCCTGTCCCCACCAAGTACCCAGAGCCTCCAGCCTCCATATCACTGACGTGGGAAGAACTGGAAACAGCACTGACCAAAAAAGTCCAGAGGCTGCTGCATGCTGTGTGACCTGGGCTAAGTCGGCCTCCCTTTCTGGACCCCAGCTTCTCCCAGGTAAAGCATAAGTTTCTTAAGTTTGGAAGCTCTCAGAGAGCATCCAGCTCTAACTCTCCATCTGAGATTGCTGATTCCAAATGTCCATCCTCTAGGTGACTGTGTCCTTAAAAGGCTCTTGAAGATGGCAATGCTATGCTCAAAGAAATCTAGTACTAATGGTGGCATCTGGGACCCAGCACCAAGTAATGGAGGGCAAGATACCCCTCAACCCCCAGCAGATATGTTACCTGAGAGGCCAGAATTTCTGTCCTTTTTGAAAACTGCTTGGTGAATCCCACTGTGGAAAGCCTTAACCCCCATTCACACCCCTGACCCACCCCTCTACCCTCACAGCAAGGAATAGAAAAGACCAGATAGGCAAGGGTCAAATCTTGGCTCACTTCTTCTGTGAGACTTGGGGAAAGACACTGTGTCTGTCTGAGCCTCAGTCTTCTCATCTGTAAAATAGGAGTTGTGGCATTTACCTGCCAGGATTTTGGAGAGATAAATGGAGACAGTGAATACAAGCTAAATTCCTAGCCTCAAATGGAGGAGTGGGGGTGGTCACCAAATGCTACTGCCCTTTCTCCTGTCCCTACCCACCTTGAGTGAGCAAATTCTTAAGAGAAGGCAAACCCACAAACATCTGGCCAACAGAAAGGACTAGGGGAATGGGCTTACTGCTCCTCAAACCCTAGGAAAAGAAATAAAGAAAGAGGAAGAGAAAGAGAGAAAGAAAGAAAGAAAGAAAGAAAGAAAGAAAGAAAGAAAGAAAGAAAGAAAGAAAGAAAGAAGAAAGAGATCACACGATGCATGCCAGAGATGACTTGGGTGGGGGTATATGTTGGCTTGGTTCCTGCTTTTGCCTTTCTTTAGAGCAACTATGTCACCAGTTTGTCATCAAGTTGGCTACAATGCAGGTTCTTTCAGGAAAATCAGGGAAAAAAGAGGCAGGGACTATAGATGTCCCCTGTCAGCAAGAAGGGTTCCTTCCCCCAGTGGCCCTCTGGGCCTGGGCCCCCCAGGATGGTTCACAAAGATAAAGTCAGTTAATGATTTTCCCCCTGAGTGGGTCACCCCCGCCATCCTGCCTGCCTTCCCAGACCCAGAATTGCAAGGGATGGGGGTGGGTGTTTCCTCCCCTCAGCTTCCAGAAACTTCCTGGCCTAATATCCTTGAGATAAATAGTGAAGCAGTTAATCAAAGGATCTCTGCATCAGGAGAACATTAGACACATTCCTAGGAGCCTCAGGATCTTTGGAGAGAGCGGGGCAGACACAGCACCTCCAGTTTTCTCTGCTTCATTTATTGGCATCTCACTTGGGATTTTGATTGAAGAAAAGGCTCCACCACTCAAGAAGAAATTTGAAAACCCATTCCCTGGCCAAATGAGCGGAAAGAGGCCCAGAGTTGTCTGAAACCGTACCAAGAAGCGAGACCTAAACTCAAATATCTCATCTCACAGCCTGGGGCTCCTTCTGCCTCTCCAAGGGCCACGTGAGGGGCCCAGCACTGAGCCGGGCACCTTTAGAATACTCAGGGCTTCTGTCACCAAAAGCAGACTGACTGGCTGTGGAGCCACTCCGCGTCAGGGAGGTGTCACCCCACTGGAGCACATCAGAAGCTGAGCTTCCCTCCTAGCGAGGCTCACAGCTCCTTCGCTCTAGGTGGGGTTCCCCAGAGGACACAGCTGGTGTGAGCCATGCCTGAGTGGGGTCCTCGGAGGAGCCCATCCTGCCTACCTCTCCCTGCGTGCCAGTCAACTTGCTCAGACCCATCTCCTTCCAGAACACGGCCGTAAGCCTCAGGAGAGGCAGGGCAGGGCACCCTCAGGGTTGCCCGCCTGCTGCTGGCTTCCCCAAGACCCTGTGGGGTCCCATCCCCCACTCAGCCAAGGACAATGGCCAAAACATTTCACAGTTGTTCTGCGTTGGGCACCGTACACAGAGAGCTGTGGGCATATGTTTAGCCAAGCATAATGGCCTTCGATTCTGGATTATAGGAAGGCCAAGGGAACTCAGGAAGGGACTGGGTGGCTAGAGCTGTTGGCCAATCTAGTAGTTATGCACAGGTGGTGTCCAGGCTAAATGACCGCCCCAACCCAGTCCACTCTTCACTCTAGGATGGAATGTGTGGTTCCCAGGATGAGGCCTGCCTTGGCCCCTGGTCTGCTTGCCTCCATGTTCCCTGCATTCTTGGAAAGACTAGGCAGGACTCTCCCAACCCTCCACAGTCCTCAAGTCCAGGCCTGGGGCGATAGACCCTCGGGTTGCAGCCATAATAGAAAACATGGCCGACAGGGCCTGCCCAAGCCCTGGGCTGGAATTCCAACCCAAATCTCAAACCATGGACAGTTAGGAGGAATCGGGACATCTTCCCTTCCTCCCTCGCCTCCTTCTCTCTCCCTAGGCTCCTTCTCTCTCCCTCCTTTCTTCCTGAACCTACTGTCCCAGGGGACCTCTTGGCCAGTTCTGTTGACTAAATGTTTTTCTGTGCCTGTCACAAGCCTCAGCTTCTCCAGAGTCCCCTGGGAAGTGATTGCTCCCCACTTCCCATTCACTACTGAGGCACAAGCCTGGGCAGTGAGGCACAAACTAAGGGAGAAGGTGTTCCCTCCATCTCCCCAGTTCCCACTGGCCCTCCAGAAGCTAAGAGACAACTAACAGAAAGAAAACTTCTGAGAACGAGGGGCACAGTCCTGCCCGCCCAGGTGCCCGGGGAGCCAGCAGAGCAGCTCTGGGGACAGCAAGAACACAGTAAGGAGCACCAGGTCTCTAGGCCCCAGCATGGCCTGCAGCGTTAAGTGGGACAGAGGTAGGTACAAAGAGCCCACCCTTCACCCACCTCTAACCCTTCCCTGCACAACCCTCTCCTCCCCCATCCACTCATCACCACCCCTCCCCAATGTCCCCTCAATCTCCAGGCTGAAGGCCGGGGACACTAATAAACTACACGTATACACACATGCACAAACAAACCCACCGCCACCCGCCACCACCCACGACAGGGCCCCACAGAGAAGAGGAGTGTTCCCAGAAATCCAGCTGTTCCAGGCAAGCTGACCTGGGTCACAGTGCCCTCCCCACCGAGGCTGCCGAGAGGCTGGGCGTCCCCTCAGCACCCCCTCCCAATACCACCTCAGAGATTACCTTGCAAGACCCTCTGACAAAGGGTGTCTGTGACATCCTGTCCTTAGGTGCTGCTGTTTCCTGCCAGCTCCTCAGCCTGTGTGGACCTGGACCGGGAGACAGGACCCCTGGGTTCAAAGCCAGGCTTCCAAGGCTGCCTGGCAGAGTGGGACCTGGAGCCAGGTACTCCCCTCCTGGCCTCAGCACCCTCCTTTCTGGACCCAAGGGCTGGATGGATCCCTAAGGCCTTGTTAGAACCCAGTGCCCTAAGGACAGGGATGGGGAGAAGGCAGAAAGGATTAAAACGGGGGACACTCTGGCCTCTGGCCTGGCTGACTGCAGGAGATAGAGGGAGGACTAGGAAAAACAGCCCAGGACCACTTTTTAAATATACCATAAGATTACTCAGGTACCAGTGGGTGGGGAGGCAGAGAAAAGCAAACTCTTCCGTCCATTGTCTGACCCACAGCTTGAGTTTGCCCATTGCCACCAACTAGAACAGTAGGGACTACAGCAAGAAGGACTTAAGTTAGATAAGCAGAGATTTACCAAACTCATTTTCTCTGGGGGGATATGTGGGATGAGAGCAGCAGGATGTTTATCTAGAGACTTCTAGGTCCATTCCTGGCCAAGAAGAAATGCCAGGGAGTTGGAGGAAGGAAGGGGAGACAAATGAGGAGAAGGGAGATAGGACACTCCTTTGGGAGACGTGGTAGGTGGGGTGCTCCTGTCTCAAAGCTGGTAGCTGAAGTGGGGAAAGGAATGTATCAGGGGTGTGGCGGAGTTGAGAACAGGACAGCAGGGGAATGGAATGAGAAGGTTGTCGAGTGGCACAGCAAGTGTTTGTGGGAAATGTAGAGAAAGACCCTTTCCGGGTGGGAGGAGGTGAGAGGGAGACTTGGCCCAGGGACTTCTGTCCTGGGCACCCTCAACCACACTCCAGGGACCACAGGACCTCCAAAGGCAGGCCCTGGGCTCTGTACTGTGACATCAGCTTGGGCAGAGAATCCCAGAGACACTGTTTAATAGAGATGACACCCAGCTAGCCTGGGCGCAGGCACTGGGGCAGGCAGGGCTGAGGTTGTCTACAAAGGGGAGCAGGGGGCTTCCTTCCCCACCACAGCTGGGATACCCAGGCCACTCCTGCTTTCCCTGAGTGTGACCTTCACCTGCTCTTGGGACAGCTCATGAGGCTCCAGGGAGATGGTGTGTTTGCCCTATTCCTGGTCTGGCCCTGGGCAGGTGGAATAGTTTTGTGACTCATTCTGTAGTCCCTCCTCCTTGTCTGTTCCAGACCCAGGAATCTCTAGGTCTCCTAAGCCAACTGAGGCTGAGAAGCTACCCGGAAAGGAAATCCATCTTTTCCCCTAAACACCTGCCTTTTTGCTTTTACCAGTTAAAAAGAAGGATGAGCAAGAGAAGGGGGTCAAGCCCACAGCCCATAATTCAGTCAAATAACGGAATATTGGAAGTGAGTCCGGCTTCCTTGATGGAGGCTGGGTGAGCGGATGTGCTGATATGCAAATGAGCTTAGGCATATGTACTGCTCCCCCCTCACTTCCCCCGACACTCCTGAAGTCCAGGTCCCAGGACCCAATCTTCCAGCCCAGAAAGGTTTGTTGAGCAACTCAGTGGTTTCTGTCCACTCTTTTCCATCTGTGTCCCAACCAGGAAATGAAGATTTCTCCTCCTGTCCCCCCAGGTTCCTCCACACCAAACTCCCCTGGACACACTGCTCACACCTTCTCACTCCCAAAGCTCTCGGGGATTCCTGGATCTCAGAACAGGGCCACCACAGTCCTATTCCACTCCCCCTCCTCCAGGGCTGCCAGGGGCGCCTCCAGCCTCCTTGAAGCTGCCCAGGAAGAAGGTGAGAAGCAGAGTCCTGCTGGGCTAGCCAGGCTCAGCCCCGAGCTCCTTCACCAGGCCTTCTCACCATGACCCAGGCAGGGGCCTTGAGCCCCTTGTGCCTGAGTCACTGTGACAACCTTGCTGGGTGCCTTCCAACAGCAGGCTGAGCTGTTCCCCAACGGTGGACATCTTCCAGACATTTTCTGGAAGCCCAGGCCCCTCACTTCAGTCAGGCCCCCTCCTGGGCACCTTACCCAGTGCCACCCCAAGCCTCTAGAGGGCGTGGGAGAGCAGTGCTCGACTTCTTAGCCCCTGGGGCCTACCCAGGTGGCTCTGGGCACAGGCTCTGGTCCCTGGGGAAGGCACCCCATGCTGAAGACCATCCAGCCAGACTTACCCTCTAGGAGAAGAAAGGTGTGGAGAATGAGCCAGGGCTGGGATTGGGGCTCCTTGGAGGATGCAGGGACAAGAAAGGTAGCCTGGGCTGTGGGGGACTCTGGAGAGGAGTGGATTTGGACAGGGGAAAAGATTATCTGCAACCAAACCCTGTCCCACTGTTCATTTGGGAACAGAAAGGACAGCAGTGTGTTGGGCCCTAGGAATTTCTACCTGACTGTAGTAGAGAGAGGGACTTTGGGGTCCACTCAGCAATGTTGCAAAGCACACCACCTCCCCAACCCATGCAGACTCACAGTTAGGCTGGGCAATGAGGAGGAATTGCTTCCATAATCAACAGCACAATAGGAAAACTATTATTGATAACACCGAGTCCTATGTTTCAAAATACCTGCAAGAGAGGATTTTGTTCCCAGCACAAAGAAATGATCATGTTTGAAGTGATGGATATTCCATTTTCCCTGTTCTGATCGTCATCATACACGTGAATTAGAACCCAGGGCACTTACCCACTGAACCACATCCCCAGTCCTTTTTTGTATTTTATTTTTTGTATTTTATTCACTGAGTTTACTTAGGGCCTCACTAAGTTGCTAATGCTGGCTTTGAACTCAAGATCCTCCTGCCTCAGCTTCCTGAGCCCCTGGGATTACAGGCATGCGCCACCACGCTCAGTTTAAAACTTTAAAAAATTTAAACAACAATAGTAACAAAATAACCAGGTAAGGCAAGGGAGGCAGAGAGGAAAGAACAAAATGCAAAAAGGTGCTCACTCTCTTAAGGGTTGTGCTGGTGCAGGGTTAACCTAAGGGTAAAAACCTCCTGCTGAGCGTGGTGGCCCACACCTGTAATCCCAGCCACTCGGGAGGCTGAGGCAGGAGGAGCAAGAGTTCAAAGCCAGCCTCAGCAACTTAGTGAGGCCCTAAGCAGCTTAGCAAGACCCTGTCTTTAAAAAAAAAAAAAAAAAAACAGGGGAGTTATTTTTTAATAAGACATTATTAAAGCAAGACCCTGCCTTTAAATTAAAAATATAAAAAAGGGCTGGAAATGTGGCTCATACATGCTAGGCAAGCACTCTACCACTAAGCTACAGCCCCAGCCAACTGGATCTGCCCATTTCCAGCTATGTGTCCTTGCGCCATTTATTTAACCTCACTGAGTCTCAGTTTCCATGAAAAACTGTGATACTAATACCTACACCTCAGGGTTGTTGTGAGAATTTGATGAGATGTTTATGGAAAATGTACATCATAAGCACCAAGTCTGCACACAGTAGGAGCCAAATAAATGGTGCTTGCTCTTCCCATTGTTATGAACAGTATTATTCTTGCATGCAGCTCCAGCTGATGTTGCAGCCTTATTCTCCACTGCCTCCCTACACCTCCACCCCACTTCAGCCAGGCAGGTCCTCAGACGGCCCAAATGCCCACATCTTATTTTCTTATCCTGGTCTCTGCACCACTAGCCACAAAGACTTGTCTTTTAAAACAAGAAACCAGGGATTAGGGTTATGGCTCAGTGGTAGAGCACTTGCCTAGCATGCCTGAGGCACTGAGTTCGATCCCTTATGATGTATCCTTTCCATAAAATACACAAATAAAGATCTTGTGTCCATCTACAACTACAAAAAAAAAACAAATAAACAAACAAACAAAAGAAGCCATCTGCTTAGGAGTCTCCCCAAAGTTCCTACAGCAAGAGCTGTCCATGCCTCAACTTTGTGAAGAATGTGTATAAGTGTGTGTATGTGAGTGTGTGTGTGAGAGAGAGAGATCTCACCAAGCACAGTCACACAGAAGGGACTGTATTTTTCCATATCCCTCATCTTACCACCAGCCTAAGGACAGATATAGGCTTGCAGGTGTAGACATCCACATGTAGACTTGGATTTTGTGGAGTATTGTTTGTGTGTGTGTGTGTGTGTGTGTGTTTTATTTTTTGATGATACTGGGGACTGAACCCAGTGGTACTCTACCACTGTGCTACATCCCCAACCCTTTTTTACTTTGAGTCAGGGTCTCCCTAAATCACTTAGGCCAGCCTCAAACGTGCAATCCTGCTCAGCCTCCGGAGTTGCAGGATTATGGGTGCGTGACACTTGTGCCAGCTGGGCTTTTGTGTTTGGGTTTTTTGTTTTCACAGTTTTGGGGATAGAGCCCAGGGCCTCACTCATGCTTGGCAAGCGCTCTACCCCAGAGCTACACCCCCAGTCCTGTAGACTCTTATGAATGGTCATGATAATCATGATATCGACTGCCTTTGACTGCATTGCTTCTGTGTGGCCTGCATTATCTCATGATTCTGCACAAAAGCTGTGATGTAGGTTCCAGCCGTAAACCTACAACTAGAAGAGTCTAAGCAACCTGCCCGAGGTCATTCGGCAAACAGGCAACAGAGGTGGGACTTAAACACAAGATTATCTGGCTCCAAAGCTGGCACTCTTAACCATTGTGGTTTGAATAAAAGAACAAACCATCAAGAAACCAGAATTTTCTTTCTGTGCTCAAAGAAAGAAAAAACAATGAAGCAAGCAAAAAATCAGAACTTCGCTTGAGTGCTTTCAAGCTTTCAAACCAGCCTGTCAGGGCTCGAATCCTATCACACTCTGCTCTTAAGAAGTACAGAGCCTCCACCACCCCGGAGGTCTTGTCTTACCCACAAAGGTTTATAACATTTTCTATACAAATGTCTGGAAAAGTGCTTATCCCAGAATGAGAAAAACCAGTTACCTTGATCATTCAGTCCCCAGAGCGTTCCCATCGATCCTAGTTTTATTTCAACTATCTATAGGAGAAACTTTTATTTTCTGTCCCGTTGCTGAACAACAATTTAGCAACTCTTCAGAGGATCCATTCCAGGA